AATTTCACTGAATGTTTATATTAGCATTTCCTATACACCATACAATTTTGAAAATATTTTGACTCTTTTTGAGCCGTTAACGGACATTTTCAGTTTTCAATTTTTTTAGTGTTTGTTTTTTCTATTAATATTAATCAAGTTTTATCTGTTGGGCCAAAAAATGTGAAAAATTAATACAAGGCTCCTGATATATTGTTATAAGAAGCAATTGAAAATATTAAAAATACATAGGCACAATTGTTGTTTATAAGCATTTAAAGATCGCATTTTGACAAAGGTATCAAAATTTCGAAAATTATCAACCATCGTAATTAATAAATTATAAAATGATCAGTTTTTATAGCTAAAGATTGAAAATTTAAAAAAAGGATTCTCATAAATAGTTCATACTGTAGCCAAAAAATCTAAAAAATATATGAGCACAGTTATTTTTTACAGACATTTTAAGTTCAAATTTGGAACGAAAATACATAGTAAAAAACCTAGCATACCTATTTTAGGTCATTTTGTTTGTGAGTGTATAATACTATTCGTGGGTACTTGAACTTCTAAAGTACACTATATTATATATCAATGATAGTATCAGGGTTTGTTATTGATGTATAACGTGTTATAAGTACCTAGTGGATATTGTGATATGATTAATTTGGAATTTATTATAGGTCAATTTTTTTTCTAATACCATAGATATGTATATAATATGTCTTAAACCTAGACAGACATACCGTCTTCGCTCAGAATCGTTTTTCTTATACAATGATATTGTATCATTGAATTCAATTTTAATACCATCCATTATACAGTGACCCACTTGTAACCTACTGTACAGCAGAGCGACATCCACTTACCCACCTTTGTTTTATTTAATATTATTTCTATATTAGTGGCATTACAAATGCCCAAGTGCAGAGTGCAGGCTATAATATTACTATACTTCAAACATGTAAGATTCATAGACTAGTAAAATAACTTTACGATGCAATATTAAGTACTGTTCGTAATAATTTATCATTTAGAAATAATTCCTTTTAATTCAATCATTGTAATCTTGTTTATTTTACATTGATTAGTTGATTCAGCTTTGAGTTCATTACACATATAATTCGTACTCCCATATTGAGAAGTGGAATGCACATTTATACAGCTGGCAGTGAGTATCTACGTACTTCTGGTATTTTTGAACAATATTGCTACAATTATTTATCGTAAAACTAAGAAACTTTTGAAATTTTTTGTTACATTTATATATCATTTTTCACAAAATATACTTTCAATTAGTAAAAAAGAGATTGAAGTATATCAATAAATATCCAATACAAAAACATTTTTTAAAAAAACATAACCACGAACCAGATTTGTATTGACCACGTTCACATAATACCATATAGTGCTATGGCTTATTTTCTATTTGTTACGTATTTTTAATTTACAAATTTCAGCGGAATGAAATTTGCTATAAAAACTGTTTTACAACCGTTGGGAAACAATAGTGTCCATAAGGGGAAACCATGTTGTACTGATCAATAAAATATGACACTATCTCATTTTTCATATGATACTGTCACCATAATTCAAAACAATCAACAAAATGTTTTTTAACTATAGGTAGACATTTTCCGTGATAGAATTTATTAAAAATATGCAATATGTTTTATTCCTATGCAGTTTTCATACTTTTTTATTATAATTTTTGTAATAAACTGCATAACGATTCGAGTGGATAAAACTTCATACAGACTACAACTATGCTATAAAATATTAAAATATAATTTGTATACTTAAATACAATCGTACATAAAAATATTAAAATTGAACGCTTGGAATGTATATAGTAGGTATATATACAGACGCTTGAAGGATAAAAGGTTTAAAAAAGCTTCTATACATTTTTCGTTATAAAATTTCCATTTATATTGTTTAGTTGTCAAAAATATTGTTAAGAATATAAGAAGTAGACACAAAAAAATCATTTGAGTAATTAAAAAAACATTTTGGTTTCTTCAAAAAATTACTATTAGAAAAAATTATAATATAACTGTTGAATTTGCAGTTAGAAACAGTATTATATATTATTATGCACATATTATGAGTAGCCAAATAAAATGCAATACAGTTATTTACTTTAAAATATTTAACGGAGTACAGTAAACCGGAAAATCCAGGAATACCATAACACAGAGAAACGTTGATCGACGAGCGAAATACATTTAACACATGAAACACATTGAAGTATAATAATATGTGATGTTCCCCGTTCATTACACTGGTGTAATGCACTCAATCGCAGCACGCGTACAGATAGATCCATTTAGTATAAATAAAGGTTCATTTAATAAGAGCAAGCACTCCATCTTCAACTCTAACAACACACACACATCAACAGAAACTTAGAGTCTTGAGCCACCACGAGGCGAGTACCGCAGAAAACAAGATTTGGCTGAAGACTTATCCTAGAACTCAACCATTCTGGTAGCCATCAGTGACATATAAATCCGTATCGTCGACTGCCGACGTCCGTATCTGGCCGGAATTTCCACTAGTGGCGTATAAATCCATATCGACGATCGGTATTGCTACCAGTGGCATGGAAATGAGAAACGGCTCTTTTCAGAGCCACCACAGTACGTGACCCACCCAACGTGCCTGCTTAAGTGTTCGCTCGAGGACCACTCGTATTCTATCGACGACGCCACTTGCTTGAGAGGGCACGAGGAAATACTGGCAATACTGTGATTTCGTCCCGACATTGTTAATCCAGACCAATAATACATTAACGATGTTGTAACATATGTTAGGCTCTCGGGTACTCTAACCACGTTAATCACCGGCATAGGTTGCATTATTCACGGGTAAGACCCCGCTGTCCATGAATTGTACATGTAATAATCTACTATCGGTATTACAATAATATCAAAAGATAATTGTGTCTGTATTCGTAAGTAACTTTATTGAAAAATCGCACAAGACCTCCACCATAAAATGCTTGAGGAGACATATGAATCGAAATAAAATATAAAATAATAAACAATAAATATTTACGTATTCTATAGGTATAATAATGATCGGTTTAAAATGTCATGCCGGTACATGGTATAATATTATGCATTGAGGGTAACGTACCAGTGGCGAATCAGAGCACGGGGACAACTCTGAGGGGAGCTATTTTTTTTTTTTGCACCATAAATTACATTAAAAGTGGTTTTTTTTTTATTCAGACGAAATTAAATTTCAAAAACCATAGAGTCATATTATATGCATGTACATTTTTAGATTCTGAATGTATTGATTTAAAAATTATGTGAACTGTTTTTTTTCTGTGTATTTTCACACGCATTATAGTAGACAAATGCTTTCATATTCAACTTTGAGAGTGATTTCTGATTTTTTGGTACTTTATGAGAGTTTAAAGATAAAATGTTCAATTCCGTTCCATATTATAATCGAGATAAAACAAATTATTGAAAAAGCTGTAATTTTACACTCGGCTAGAATTTTACAAAATTTAAATTGTTTAGATCTCCAGATTACAAAACTAATAACTGTAGAGATTTGCAGTAGTCACCAAATATTTACATGATCATTTAATATACATTATATAACTTTCGAAATAGTTTGGGTCATTTGTGTTATTAAAGCCATTTTAAATATTGTTGACTGTTATTGGTTTTTTTTTTTATTATAAAATTATTGTTTGACAGTAAAAAAGCTTGACAATTTAATACAAAGTACCTCATGAGTTTTCTTATGGAGGTTAAATATCATTTCATGGATTAATCCACATTACGATTATTGTTTTAAAAGTTAATATAACAATGGGAGAAGGACAGTAGAGTAATAATATAGTTAATCGATTAATATAGGTACCTACAGTTTTTGTAAATTTTTATTGAAATAAAGCTAAATTAATTTATTTCAAAACACAATATATTTGGGCGTGATTAAAAAAATATTATTAAAAAAATTATTACAAATTGAAAAACTATAATTAATTTAGTTTGTAACACTGAGTATGTTCACATTTTAACTTGTAAATAACAGTATGTGTTACGTTTTAGTTAAGTTTATAAAAAAGTGGATATTTATTAGTTATGATTTAATCAAATTATATGGTCATATAATAAAAAATGTATATTTTATTTACATGGGTACCATAGTAATATTATGTCAACATTATTTATCCAATTTTCATATAAACCTTGGATTATAGACTATTGATAAATCCAATCAGTGTTCCATGTGCTTCCGCTTGTGTGCCACCAAATTGCCACTTACAGAGAATGTCTTGTCACATACACCGCGTGCGTACGGTCTTTCGCCAGTGTGTGTACGTTGATGTTTCGTTAACGAGCCTCTTTCAACGAACGACTTGTCACATACATCGCATGCGTACGGTCTTTCGCCAGTGTGTGTTCGTTTGTGTATCGTTAAACTGGTATTTTGGCTGAAGGATTTGTCACATACATCGCATGCGTAGGGTTTGTCACCAGTGTGGGTACGTTGATGTCTCGTTAAATTGGTATTTTGGCTGAAGGATTTGTCACATACATCGCATGCGTAGGGTTTGTCACCAGTGTGGGTACGTTGATGTCTCGTTAAATTGGTACTTTGACTGAAGGATTTGTCACATACATCGCATGCGTACGGTTTTTCGCCAGTGTGTGTGCGTTGATGTGTCGTTAACGAGCCTCTTTCAACGAACGACTTGTCACATACATCGCATGCGTACGGTCTTTCGCCAGTGTGTGTTCGTTTGTGTATCGTTAAACTGGTATTTTGGCTGAAGGATTTGTCACATACATCGCATGCGTACGGTTTGCCACCAGTGTGGGTACGTTGATGTCTCGTTAAATCACAACTTACAGCGAACGACTTGTCACATACATCGCATGCGTACGGTTTTTCTCCAGTATGTTTGCGTCGATGTTTCGTTAAATTGGTACTTGGCTGAATGACTTGTCACAGACATCGCAAGGGTAAGAGTTCTTCTCCATCTGTCCGATTATCTATTAGTCGCTTCTATTAGTAAATATTTTATTTTAAATGTAATAGTTTTTCATACGATTATTTGGTTACTATGCTTTTCTGTTTTGTGATCATTAGAATTTATAACATCATCATAATATTTTAAAGCCAGTATTTGTGTATTACAGTTCAACATAACGTAGAGATAATATTATTATGCTTTAATATAATACAAGCAGTTAATAATAAAATCTTAATCTATTTGAAATTTTAAAATAAATATTTAATCCAGGAGCAGATGTTTTTAAAACTCTTAGATCTTATTCTATAAGATATCACGAATCCTTAACAGATGCAGTTCGTAAGCACTACCCGCCGGTAATCCTTTATTGTCGGGTTAGCGCAACCTCTGATGGCCGATAAGTCGTTCTTCTATTTCTGTTAAAGTATAATATTGAGCTACGTATAAATTAATAGATCTATCAGACTTTTTTTAGAAAAATATCTCCTACAATATCTTCTCGTAGTCTGTAATGTGGTAGTTCTTAATATTAGATAATACATGATATTTGGCTTTTCTTACTCCTATTGTATAATATCAATAAATTATTACGATCATATGCTAATGTATCCATGTAGGTTTCGTTGGTACTATGATTCATACTCCTTATATCCATGCATTCTACCATCAAAGTTAAGTTACATATTATTCAGTAAAAATATGAAAAAGTGCCCCATTGCCCAAAACGGAGTAAGCGGCTCAGGAAATTCCCGTTTCTCAGTATGCTTATTTGGCCATGTTCACCATATTTCTGTCCTAGGACAGCTGAAGCTGAAGCTTTGGGAGGAACACAGAAATACGTGTCGCCAATCTGTATACCCATTACGCACATTATATAATTAACTTAACGTTTCTACAACAATACATTTTAATCCGTTGTGATTTAATATGAATATATAATGATAATCCGTATACCCATTGTTTAAGATTGAAATTCGCAGTTTTAGTAACACTCTTTTATTTAATTGCATGTGGAGATTAAATATTACTAAACAGCAATAGGTAGTAATATAGTAATATTACACAGTAATAATCTTTCTTTTTTAAAGACGGTTGACACGTCATTTAAGATAAAAAAAACATAAATTATATTTTAAGCATCCATTAATAAAATAAATGTATTTATTTAGGTAACCTGTAGTTCTGATCAGATTGCCGCCAGTGATAATGTTTCACGTCTCCAAAATGAAAACTTTTGTAGGGGTACTATAATCAAATCATAAATGTATTTTTCATTAATATATTTTACAAATAAAACATATAATATCATTTTAAAAATTATTTTTAAAATAATAATATTGATTTTTATGATCGTATGTTAAAATAAAAATAATGAATAGTATGTTTACAAACAATTGTGTTTGTTATTTTTTATTTTTTATTTTTTTGAGGGTGTCATTAGATTACCGATTCAACTATTGTAGTGTATCAAATGGTAGTTATAAGAAAAAATTGTTTAGCGCTTGTAAATTAAACCTATACCCATTATTTTAATTAAAAGTATAAATGCATATTTTACTAATCTTTGGAGGACCATAGTTAATAAACTAGCGAACCAAAATTGACGATTCGACTACCAAAATGTTCAGAAAAAAAAGCTTTACCAGAACCCATTAAAAATTATAGTGGTTACCATTTGAAAAAAAAAAGTTGATTTTGCTATTGGTACACCTGTGTGTTTAAAAATTTTGAAATTGTTATAAAAAAATTGCTTGTTAAAAATAAAGAAACACGTCTTTTTTCGTTTTAACGAAATTTCATATCATCTTTCCGTAATCGTCAAAAAACCCCGCGTACAATGACATAAGATACACCCTGTATAATTATACTGGCTATGATATAATTATCGCTTAATAATATTAGACTACAAGTGGCGTACGCGAGGATAGGGTTCTAAGATGAACCCCTTTGAAATTTCTTTCTTCTGCAAAACAAAAAAATGTTATTTTCAACCATAATCCAATATACAGAGTAGATTCATTGTTAATTCATCTTAATAGCTGATATAAAATACATTATTGAAATGGTACTGAAATCGAGAATCATAATTTTAGTTTTCTTTATTTACTGTTATAAGAACATTGATAAATGTAATAGTTTTATCAGTTATTCCATGTTTATAATAGCCTAAAGAGGTTCTATAATCTACAGTAAGTATATATAGATGATTGGATGCCTCTCAATATAGGTTAAATTTGAAACATGAACTCTTTAATTTGTTACAACAAATTATAAAAAAACGCGTTTAGGAAAATAATATAATGTAAATGTGCATAAAGCTCCGTGTCTGTGATTAATTTTAGGTAAAAACTATAACCTAACTTAAATCCTGCGTCATTCCTGCTTCATTCCTGTAGACAACTATAAATTATATATAATATTTTACAATAATAAGTGTTTGTTTTGTCAATCGTCGCTTTTTTGCAACAGTAAAATATACAAATTCTTCAATCTTCAATTTCAATATATTTTGTGGTAGAAAGTGAATCTAGTTTTTGTCTAAAGCCAAAATTCTCATTAATTTTCTTAATAATTTAAATCATTAAATAAAATATTAGAGGAAACCAGGAATTTTTATTCTTGAGCAAATCCAGTCAGTGGCGTGTCGAAGGTATTATTTTGGAGCAATTGCTCCTTCAAAATTGTTGTTTGGTGGGTGGTCCCCTGACACAAAATACCTAGCCACCTAGGTGCTAAGTGACTAGGTATATCGTAGAAATATCATATCCGATTATACAAATCGTTACAGATGTACGCATATTTGTACATTTGTGCTGAGTTGGAAATGCCGTCAATAAACATCAAGTGGGGGGGGGG